TGATTACGGTGCAGTGATTGTGGTGCAGTGATTGTGGTGCAGTGATTGTGGTGCAATGATTGTGGTGCAGTGATTGTGGCGCAGTGATTGTGGTGCAATGATTGTGGTGCAGTGATTGTGGTGCAATGATTGTGGTGCAGTGATTGTGGTGCAATGATTGTGGTGCAGTGATTGTGGTGCAGTGATTGTGGTGCAGTGATTGTGGTGCAGTGACTATGGTGCAGTGATTGTGGTGCAGTGATTGTGGTGCAGTGATTGTGGTGAAGTGATTGTGGTGCAGTGATTGTGGTGCAGTGGTTGTGGTGCAGTGATTGTGGTGCAGTGATTGTGGTGCAGTGATTGTGGTGCAGTGATTGTAGTGCAATGATTGTGGTGCAGTGATTGTGGTGCAGTGATTGTGGTGTAGTGATTGTGATGCAGTGATTGTGGTGCAGTGACTATGGTGCAGTGATTGTGGTGCAGTGATTGTGGTGCAGTGATTGTGGAGTGCAGTGATGATTGTGGTGCAATGTTGTGGTGTAGTGATTGTGGTGCAGTGATTGTGGTGCAGTGACTATGGTGCAGTGATTGTGGTGCAGTGATTGTGGTGCAGTGATTGTGGTGCAGTGATTGTGGTGCAGTGATTGTGGTGCAGTGATTGTGGTGCAGTGACTATGGTGCAGTGATTGTGGTGCAGTGATTGTGGTGCAGTGATTGTGGTGCAATGATTGTGGTGTAGTGATTGTGATGCAGTGATTGTGGTGCAGTGATTGTGGTGCAATGATTGTGGTGCAGTGATTGTGGTGCAGTGATTGTGGTGCAGTGATTGTGGTGCAGTGATTGTGGTGCAGTGATTGTGGTGCAGTGATTGTGGTGCAGTGATTGTGGTGCAGTGATTGTCACAGTGACTATCTCATGTTAGCTGTCATCAAGGATTGGTCTAAGTTCCACATTTAGTGTTTTGTTTACCCAGCGTCACCTCAACACTCAGTTTACTGTGACTTCCACTGCATTCGTCTGCATTCTTCACTGATTGAGAGGTGTACTCACATGTAGGTGGTCACAAGGGTCGAGTCGCAGCTCTTGGCACTGACAGGTGTGTATCTCTCGGTACATATACAGAGAGAAGTGTGCTCACCTATTTGTGACTGCAGGGGTCGATTCAAAGCTTCTGGCCCCCACCTCTTTACTGGTCGCTACTAGGTCCACTCTCTCCCTGCTCCATGAGCTTTATTGTATCTCTTCTTAAAAGCTGTGTAAGGATGCTGCCTCCACTACATCACTCCAGATTGTTCCACTTTCTGACAACTCTATGACTGAAGAAATTCTTCCTAGTATCCCTGTGACTCATCTGAGTTTTCAATTTCCAGTTGTGACACCTTGTTGCTGTATCCAATCTCTGAAAAATTCTGTCCCTATCCACCTTGTCAATTCCTCTCAGTATTTGATATGTCGTTATCATGTCCCCATCTATCCCTCCTGTCCTTCAGTGTCCCTTAACCTCTCCTCGTAGGACATACACTTTAGCTCCGGGGCTAGTCTTGTTGCAAACCTTAGCACTTTCCCTAATTTCCTGATGTGCTTGACCAGGTGTGGGTTCCATACTGGTGCTGCGTACTCATACTCCAGTGTAGGCCTGACGTACACGGTGTATAGAATCCTGAATGATTCCTTACTCATTAATCGGAACGCTATTCTCGGGTTTGCCAGGTGTCCATACGCTGCAGCAGTTATTTGGCTGATGTGTACCTCAAGAGATGTGCTCGGTATTATGCTCACCCCAAGATCCTTTTCCTTGAGTGAGATTTGTAGTCTTTGGCCACCAAGCCTGTACTCTGTCTGCGGTCTTTTTTCACCTTCCCGAATCTTCTTAGTGGTGTTAAACTCCAGGATCCAGCTGTTGGACCAGGCTTACAGACTGTCCAAATACCTTTGTATATTAGTATATATTCACAGAGAGGCGTGTGTATCTGTGCATATACACCGAGGTCTGTATGTGTATTTCTCAGCGTATAAACACAGAGAGGTGTGTATCTCTGTGTGTATACACCGAGAGCTGTGTATTTCTTAACGTATATACAATAAGAGGTGTATATTTATCAGTGCATATACACAGAAGTGCCTTTCAGTGTATACCGAATAGTGTATTTCTCAGTATATATACACTGAAAGGTGTGCCTCTCAGTGTATATACACAGAGGTGTATATACAGTCATATATATACACAGAGGTGTATATACAGTCATATATACACAGAGGTGTATATACAGTCATATATACACAGAGGTGTATATACAGTCATATATACACAGAGGTGTATATACAGTCATATATACACAGAGGTGTATATACAGTCATATATACACAGAGGTGTATATACAGTCATATATACATCGAGGTATCTACATCTCTTAGTGATTAAAATCTCTGAAATCGATGGCCTTACATGAAAAATACAGCCTTATTGATAATCATGCAGTAGATAGTCTTGAAACCTGACCAGTAAACACAGTCTCTGCTCTGTGTTTGTTTCTAGGGCTCTTGATCCGAGGAACTGGACCTATCCTTCCAAGGACTCAGCCATGTTACCTAATATAATAATAATAATAATAATAATAATAATAATAATAATAATAATAATAATAGTAATAATAATAATAATAATAATAATAATAATAATAATAATAATAATAATAGTAATACCATCCCCTGGGATACCACCCACAGCAGTAGACTAAGACCCAGGTACCTATCCTATTTACTGCTAGGTAAGTAAGGGTACCTGGAGTAAGAATGGCCAACGTGTGCACCCGTCCCAGGATCGAACCCACATGCTTCGGTTGTGAGCTAAAGGCGTTGCTACTGAGCGCTATGAACTCCTGGCGTGTCGCTGTTCAGCTTATATGAACATTCATGCTAAAGAGAAACAACAACGGCGTAAAGAACACAGGGACTTGAACATGAGTAGTTAAGCTCTCTCTCTCTCTCTCCCTCTCTCTCTCTCTCTCTTCTCCCCCCCCCCCCCCCCTTGAGGTTTCTCCACGACAGAGGCAGCGAGGTTGGGAACCCTCACACACACAGCCACAATTCCACCAGCTACCGTAGGAGTTGCAGCATCCAGAGTAGTCCTCTCAGCGTCATCCGCAGCATCACCCAGGTAAGCTCGACACAGTTACTCATCTTTCTATCTCTATTTTGCACACTGAGATTATCACATTGTATCATTTTCTATAGATAAGCTATAACGTGCCAGCATATTAATCTGGCCTTTTGAGGACGTAGGTTCGAGTCGCTAGTACCGTAAATTCCTCTGGTATTAACGTTTCCGGTACAGTGTCTAGATAAGTCAGATTTTATTCTTTGAAAATGCAGTGCAATTGCAAACATGCGATCTTAACAATGCAAAACAAGCCACATGGGGTTGGAAATCTTTAGCTCTAGATCTTTCGCGCTCTGCTGCGTCGTCAGAAGCTGTGCAGTGTTGCAAGACAGCAACAAACAGCAGGGGAAATTCTCTGAGGCAAGACAGAAGGTGTCAGTGGTAATCCCTGATACCTTCTGTGGTATTGTGTGTTAGTTGTGAATTGTTTCAGCCATGGTATTGTGTGTTAGTTGTGAATTGTTTCAGCCATGGTATTGTGTGTTAGTTGTGAATTGTTTCAGCCATGGTATTGTGTGTTAGTTGTGAATTGTTCCAGCCATGGTATTGTGTGTTAGTTGTGAATTGTTTCAGCCATGGTATTGTGTGTTAGTTGTGAATTGTTCCAGCCATGGTATTGTGTGTTAGTTGTGAATTGTTTCAGCCATGGTATTGTGTGTTAGTTGTGAATTGTTTCAGCCATGGTATTGTGTGTTAGTTGTGAATTGTTCCAGCTACGATATTGTGTGTTAGTTGTGAATTGTTCCAGCTACGATATTGTGTGTTAGTTGTGAATTGTTCCAGCCATGGTATTGTGTTTTAGTTGTGAATTGTTTCAGCCATGGTATTGTGTGTTAGTTGTGAATTGTTCCAGCCATGGTATTGTGTGTTAGTTGTGAATTGTTCCAGCCATGGTATTGTGTGTTAGTTGTGAATTGTTCCAGCCATGGTATTGTGTGTTAGTTGTGAATTGTTCCAGCTACGATATTGTGTGTTAGTTGTGAATTGTTCCAGCCACAGTATTGTGGGTTAGTTGTGAATTGTTCCAGTTGTGTATTGACCTTTTTTATATTAACATATCGGTCGATTCCCACCAAGGTGACCCGAAAAAAGAAGAAACACTTCCACCATAATTCACTCCATCACTGTCTTGCCAGAAGCTCACCTACACTACAGATATAAAACTGTAACATATCAACACCCGTCCTTTAGAGTGCAGACACTTGATTTTGATACACGAGCCATGACAAGAGCCACAGCCTCCCCTCTCAGAGTAGCATCTGCCGCAACATTCAGAACAGTGGCTCTCTCAAGGTTAGAGGAAGGTGGATCAAGCCTCCACTACTCTTCACTATACCAAAATGCTTTGATAAATCCTGATACAACAGAAGTTTGACGGGGGAGAAAGTGGAGAGAACCGAGACAATTTTTTCGGTCTAAATCAGTGGTTCCCAAACTTTTTCAGCTTGTTACCCAATTTAACATGCCACATAAAGCATGTTACCCCTTTCACAAAATGTTGTTATTATTGATATATATGGCTAAACGTGAACGTATACAGCCTCGCATACTCTGCTAATCCTAGCAAAACCATTGAAAACGTAAGAACCACACATATATATAAAATTAATAATAGCTACAAATTCACAGTAACAGTGGGTAAATACTATATACTGCACAGGGCAGTACACATACATACCAGCTTATGTCTACCTCGGCTGATGCTCACAGATAAACTGACAGTGTGAAATAGAGGCAGCCTCAGGAAGTGAGTGACGCGTACTGGACAGGTCGATCTGGGCTACTGAGTGACTTTTGTCCTGAAGCATACTTGTCAAAATACTTTTGGGTTTCCACACACTTAGCTATATATTTCTTCTTTTCTAATACTGTATATTAGTTTTTGATGTTTATTGTTATTTGGTTTAACTTTATTACTTACTTATAATAGGTTTACTTTACAACTTTATATACTAAGACAAAGTTAACAATAATCCTCATACCGGGTACCGCATTGTTTTCTTGATTTTCAGAATTCATAACTTTTTTTCTGTCACCCCTCCATTACCCCCCAAAAATGGTTAAATTACCCCCAGGGGGTAATTTACCCCCAGTTTGGGAACCACTGGTCTAAATGAAGATGGTTTGGTTAGAGGAGAAATGTTTTCTGTGGGTTGACAGCATCAGTATGGGTGAGTACTTAGGGCAGGTCAGTAGAGGGGTGCCACAGGGATCATCTATCGGATCAGTGGCATCAGTGCCAGAGAGTACGACAAGGATCATCTCTTGGATCAGTGGCATCATTTCCACATGGATCATCTCTCGGATCAGTGACATCAGTGCCAGAAGAATGCCACATGGATCATTTCTTGGATCAGTGGCATCAATGCCAGAGAGTGTCACAAGGATCATTTCCTGGATCAGTGGAGAGACAAAAAGACCTCTACATCTGACGACAGTAGAGAACAGAAGGATCAGCAAAGACATGATTACGACATGCAAAATACTCAGAGGCAAAAAACAGGTACAAGAGAGAACAACTTGAAGCTAAAAGATAGACACGAGCTACAGGAATGTCAGGAAGCGCTTGTTTAGCTTAGGATGGTTAGAAAGTGGGAAGACCCTGAATGGTGAATTAGACTCTTTACACAGCTTTAAGAAGAGGTATGACAGGACCCCACGATGTTGATAGAAAGCGACCCTTATAATGGTCAGTTATGAGGCAGAGTAAGGTGCGGAGACTCGACCCTAGTAACCCAAAGAAAAGGAAGTACAGAATTGACAGAACAACCTTAGACTCTTTCTTGATTACCTTTGTTATAATTCCCTGATTACCTTTGCATTACCTCTCCTATTACCTTATTTCTTAGTATTACCTCGATTACCTTACATTCTACGCATCTCCTCACAAACTAATTCCTTGTTCGTTACGCAAAGTAATCAGCGTTATGACATTCCTTGGTAACTGCTCGCTGTTGCTTTGAGCAGTGAGGGAGACTGTGATCATTCTCGTGGTTCATGGATGATGAAGTTTAAGTGAATTTATTCTTGTATTAAGTGAATTTATTCTGTCAGTAAATACGGTAAGGCACAAATATGGATGTAATAAGAATGTTAGAGAAATGTGTTTCAGTTGCTGGTAATTTAGTTGCAATGGGTTACAGGAAGTGTTTTTTGACTCTTGTTTTTATTTCAGACGTTTTTATGAGAGGACCAAGTGTACGAAATCCAAGATGATGGCTTTCTCGGTGAATGCTATTAGCTTCATCTTCTTCCTCCTGATGGCGAAGCCAGCCTTCGTCAAGAATGTCGTCCATGCTACTGGTGAAGGAAATTCTGCAAGCAGCACTAGCAGCAGCATTAGGATTCTTCTTGAGAACAAACTCTTGTCGCAGCTGCTGGAGGCTGCTGGAACAAGGAATCTCAAAGCGACACTGCTCGGCACTTCACTCTTAGGGAAGCTCGTTGTTGGGGATGACAGAGAGGTCGCTCTTGATGAGATCAAGTCCTTCCTGCTGAAAGAACTGCCAGACTTCGAGGTGGTGAGCAACATGGTGACAGATGGATTCGGGGTTAACAACGACGTCCTGAAACCTTTCATGAAAATTGTAAACAAGATGAGTAAGCTGAGCAAGAGGAAGCCATCGAAGGCCAAGAATGTAGTCGAATCCGTCCTGGAATTTGTCGATCATTATGTGAACCCAAATGAAGCAGAGACGAGCGAGGAATCCGTCGATGATGTTACCAGCGAAGGGCCTCATGACAACACCTTCGACTACGCTAGTGACATCAAGATGCACTTCGTCAATGCTGCCAAGGAGCTGTTAGAGAGCAAGTTTGGTAGTAACTTGACCTCCGCCATCGCTTCCTCGGAAGGTGAGATCCCAACAGATATGTCAAGACTCAACATGACCAGATCCAGTACATGGATGATCATCAAGTCGACCTGGCAGCGCCTCTTGGCCTATGTCAGGGAAGAAAACTCGATGGAGAGCTTCATGCAGCTGACACCAGTCAAGGCCATAGACCGCATTTTAAGTCTTGGAGACGATGTCAGTCTCGCTAACTTCTTGACCAAGAAACTGGACCCGGACTTCGCTGAGTTTCTTGCAGAAGAGATCAACCCGTACTTCGGTCCCCTCCGAGACTTCAACAGCTTTTACAACTTCACCAGAGACAATGGATTCAGCGGGATCATTGACTACTTCAAATCCGAGAAATTCAGCTACACTATAAATGTCATATCACGGTTCATCTCCGCCTACCTCGAAGACGCGGTGTCGGACGAGGTAGTAAATCAATACATAGAGTTTATCTCCTTCAACAACACCGAGCTTCACAACTTTTACAAGTCCGTTTTAAGGAGCCAAGACAGGATCGCAAACACTGACGTATTCGACCGAACTGTCACAAATGACTCCGCTTCATCTGTTACGAACGTAACTCTGCGTTACAAAAGAAACGTGTTACAGGACATCGTCACTAGCCACAAGCTGGACGAAATTTCCGGTCAATTCAGCTCTGAAGTGACTACTGAAGACTTCGGAAGACAGATTCAGCGGTATGGCGCGATGAGAACATCTAACACTGCCCTGTATGACCCTGCCAGGGATGGTATGTATGGTGGTGGTGGTGGAGGATACGGCGGTGGGGGAGGATACGGTACCATGAACATGAACTCCCTAGACCCGTACGTCACCCTGGGCTCCCTAGCACTGGGTACCATCCTGGGGTTCTTGCTGTACCGAGCTCTGAGAGGGACGCGCAGGAGGGGCAGGCGAGACATCGGCGATGGTTCTCTGTCGTTATGGTTGTCAGATATCCCAGATAGAGTACTCTCGTGGGGCGCCAGCGTCGATCTGGTGAAGGAAGATGCTCATAACTTCAACAAGACTGGACAGGAAGAGTTCAACTTACCGGATTCCCTGAGGGGCGACTTGTGGTCCACTGACCCCTTAGTAGGAGACAACCTACTGGACAACCAGCTGGAGGAGGACGATATGGCTGACCACCTGAACCAGCTGTGGAGGGTATACAAACACAGTAATGAGACCACTTGCGTCCACTCCCACCTGTGTGGAATGATGACAAACAGCACAACAGAGCACCTCACTGGCAGAGACTCCAGCGTTGCTCTTCTTATGTAAGTGTAAACACATTTCTTCCTTTCCCTGACACTCTTGCTTTCACAATGATCCCAGATGGGCTGAAATGCCATCCAGTTTTCCTCTCCCACAGCCTGTCTGGCTAGGGACAAGGCCGCCATTAGTGATATGAGGATAGAGCCTCCTCTACCCCTTTTGCCGAATAACCCATTAGGTTTAGAGCTCCGTGAAACACAGAGCTCTAAAATCTAAAGTTTTCGTAGAGGCCAAAGAGCTAAGCAGAATAATGAGAATAAGGATTTAATGTTTTTATAACTGTGCATAAAACGTTTTTAATGTGAAATATTTATTTCCAGGGCCTCGATAAGTAATCTGATGGGCGTGGTAGGGTCAGGTCAGCTGCTGGATGACGTGGCTAACAGCCTGGTAGTAGGTGACCTCTTCACCTGCCCCACCTTCACCACCACCTGCCATCACCACCTCCTCTAGGTACCTGATGGGCCGACAACCTGACGATCTGGCTATCTTATGACCTGGAAGCTTCAGACCTGGCAACTTGACGATCAGTTGGCTGCCTGCCAGACCTGGCAACCTTGACGAACTATTGACAGCGGCAAATACTGATCTGCCTACCTGACCTGGTAACATGACTTGACTGTCTACTGAACCTGGCACTGTGACGACCTGACAAACTACTGACCTGGAAACCTGAAGAAGTAATGACCGGGTGACTCTAAAGAACTAGAAAACGCGACAGACTTTAGAGAACGAAGAACTTAAAAACAGGAAAGAATAACAAGAAAACAGAAAAAATATACACTCACAAACACACACACACACATACGTCCCTCTAATGGAAAGTAAACACCAACGGTTCAGGATGATGTAGAATGTATAGAAGCGTCGTAGTCTCTACAATAGAGAGGAAAACAACATGGATGCAGGATAGGGTCTCCCTGGGACAACGTCTCGCTCTGTGTGTTAGCTTCCTACACAGGGCGAAAGATGCGTCTTATCTTCGCAAGTATAAAGGAACGTGACGAGCGATGTGTAGTCAGGAAACCGTTCTGGAACATTTCCCCAATCAATCAGTGACTTTTAAAAGAAGGAGAACTTGAACAAGAGATAGTAGACGAAAACTGAACAAGGGAACGTAGACGAAAACTGAACAAGGGAACGTAGACGAAAACTGAACAAGGGAACGTAGACGAAAGCTGAACAAGGGAACGTAGACGAAAACTGAACAAGGGAACGTAGACGAAAACTGAACAAGGGAACGTAGACGAAAGCTGAACAAGGGAACGTAGACGAAAACTGAACAAGGGAACGTAGACGAAAACTGAACAAGGGAACGTAGACGAAAACTGAACAAGGGAACGTAGACGAAAACTGAACAAGGGAACGTAGACGAAAACTGAACAAGGGAACGTAGACGAAAACTGAACAAGGGAACGTAGACGAAAATTGAACAAGTGAACGGAGATATAAAAACAGAACGAAGTACAGTCACAATATTGTGTCCCCTATTATATATTGTATACGAAAAAAATTCTGAGTACACACAGTAGATTTATTTAGTAGATTTATAGGAGTATTTATTGAGATATACAGTAACTATATTTAATATATTAAAACTATATTTATAAGTAGATAATTAAGATCTTTAAACGGGTGGAGGAGTAAGCCAGTGTAAGGCCTCAGTCAGATGACCAAAAGCTCCAGCTGCTGGTCATTATATCACCCGCGTCAGGACACACTTGTCCTGTTTCCTGACAGA